ACAAATTATATTATTATAATTATTATGCAAACTTGGACAAACGACTTACCTATATAAAATGAGCAGGCACAGCACACTTGACAAGCTCTTCACTCAAATGAAATAAAATGAAGCGGCGATATTGGTTTACCTATAGGTTTAATATAAAAAAGTTTAAGTAAAAACGCACGCAGCAGTTTTGAATGTTTAACTTAATAGCACTTTATAAATATTTTAAGTAATATAAGATACCATAGTACAAAAAGTGACAGTTGTATTTACTGGAATTCCCGTTACAATTTCTAACTTGAGAATCTCCCATGGGAGATTCTCAAGTTAGAAATTGCAGAGTCACAAATTTTGGTAAAAAAACTTCTTACTTTTGCACCCTAATTAACATCCGAATAAAAATGTTCACCATAGCTATGCTAGCATTGTAACTGAAGATTAAAAAAATTAGAAAGGCGATTGGCAAAGAAATCAGCATTAAAATTCTGGTCAATTTCTGGTGGCCAATTTTTTTTCGGGTGAATGTTTTTTCACAAAAATGCATTTTTGAACCATAAAACTGATTTATTTATATAATCGTTCTAAAAACGATTTAAATACATATATATATATATATAGGTATATATAAATATGTTTTACCGTATTTAGGTCATCCTTTTGACGACTGTCACCATTGTCTGTTGGAACAAAGATTAGCATAATTAAAAAAATTGATCAAAAGAATCAATTAAACATATGATTCTTTTAATCAATTTTTTTAATTAGTTTGTTAATAAATGTATGAAATAAAAGTTGTACTTGTAAATATATTTAATCAGTTTTACCGTAACAGTAGTATTGTTTTATTTAAATACAAAAACCCCACATTCCTTAGAACAAACAATTAAATTAATTTGATATAAGTATAAGGAAAATATATGGTAAGTACTTATAGGAAGGCTTATATTTTTTTTATTTTAACATGCAACTAATGAAAAACTTTAACAGATAATAATCAAGGTATATTTTTCTTAATTTTAATCCTATGTTTTTTCAATCTTCTTTTTTGGTGTTGTTTTACTCTTTTAACTGGGGCCAAAGTTTCATTTTCATCTGTGTATGTAGGATATAAAGTCTCATTTGGTACTTCATCGTCGTAGTCATATTCTGGTATCCCACCAACTTTTTGACTTTGGTATACCACACATCTTTTTAATCTAGATAGTAGTATGGAGTTTTGTGCTAAAACTAAAAATTCATCAAAATTATTGTTAATCATTAGATGACGCTGTAAACAATTATAACTATTTCAGTCGGTAATAATATAGAACTACAACAAAAAATATTTCTGAAAAGTGTATAGATCAGTGTGTGGTATAAATGTGTTCCTCATGGTTTAAACATTGTCACTTTAATGCGTTTTAATTTTAATTCTGAAAACAAACAGTAAAATGGCCAGTGTCCAATTACTGGTTGGTAAAAAATGTAAATTTCTATTATTGGACATAATATGTCAAATATCATACTCTATTTGTATCCCTGACATTTACCAGCCAATTCTTATGTAAAATTGTCCCCTGAATCTGAAAAGACCGTCAAAAACTATAAAAGTCGAGCAGTTTTTGAGATATAGTCAATTCCATATTATATGTAAAATTGATTATAGTTCAAAAACTATTCTACTTTCATATAGCTATATAGCTTTTGACGACATTTTCGTATTAAGCGAATAATATTTCATAGGAATTGACTGCTAAATGTCCTGGATACAAATCGCTGTTGACGAGAATTATTAGTGGCTGCTTTTTCGCTATGACATTTTTGACTAATTCATTTTTAGAGAGTAAGTAATAAGTGATTTCTTCGTCACAGGACATCTTGCAGAATAACAGTGATTTAAATACAGGGCATGATAGAGAACATAAAAAACTGATAGCAACAAAATTAATAAATTCGGAAAATACTTTTAACATACCACCCGAAAAAATATTAAATATAAATAAATCATCCTGTTCCGGCCTAAACATTCTAAATGCTTCACAAACTAGAGATACCACACTTAATGATATTTGCAACAAACTATTTCTGAAGTCAGACCAGGGAATTAGTAGTTACCTTCAGAATCCAGAAACGGGATGAGGAATTCGAGAAAGAAATATATGAATTATATGATATTTACAAAAACGAAATAAAAAAAATTACCTAAAACAGCAATTTAACTTTAAAAAATCATTAACAATTCTTATTATTTGATGTAAAGTTGTTATTTATGTTTTAATAATGAAAAACAAAAAACATTTTTTTATATAGGTATATATGTACATAATTAAATTAAATAAAACAAAAGTGAAACAAAACCAAGGTAAAATAAATATAATACAATATACGAATATTAAAAACGTTTTTCTTAAAATATAATAGAAAACAATTTTGATTTAATTATGAACAAGCCTGAATAAAAACAATTTAAATTCAATTCTTACCGAAGCGATCAAGAATTAAAATAAAAACGAAAAAGAATATTTTACTTTTGTACTTCATTATGAAATGTTAACTTCTGTTACAGCGTTAGCTGCTTTGCATTACAATATTTGAAAAGAATTTGACCTAAATTTTAAATTATTTTTGCGATACAAAGAAATATTTAACGAGATAAAGCAATTATTGTGTTTTAAGATACATACATACATAAGTACATAGGTTTATTATTTTACCATTTACAAATTATTACAATAGTACCTATATTATGTATTAAGTTTGATAAACGATATTTTAGTCACGAATTTAATTTTGTATTTTGCTGGGCTAGTATTTCCAGTGACCCGGTATAAACAATTTTCGATTAAATTGAACTGTAATAATGGTGATCTTGAAAAGGTAATTGCATTTAGGTTAGTTAGAAGTGGCTACAAGAAGATTGTCTTTACATGGCATGGTATTACTTATAAGGAATTTCATTACAAATATCTTAACAACAATAATTAATTGTATGAGCTAATCCATTTACTTAAAATTACCTACTTGCTATCTGATACGGCATATAAACAGTGTGGGAACATAAAAATAATAAAATATCAAAGACAGTGGGTATTTTCTTTACCTACTTTTACAATATTAAGTCAAGTAGGTACTTGTCCCATCTTGACATTTGAAAACAAATAATTGAGGTTATCTATCTGTCCGTCGCCTATTTCGTCCTATTTTCTATATTACAAAATACCTATGTATTTTTCCTACTCCCACCTTTAAAACGCCCTTTATCGTACATGTTTCCATGACACTAACTGACCTTTTAAATACATTGACAAGTTGTGGCTTTATGGCGCTTTAGTCACGGGCTGAAGTTAGCAACAGGTTTTTAGTCACGGGCTAAAGTTGTCAAATGTCATACAATCGTTAAAATAAAGTGCCTTTCTTGTAAAATAATACTAAATGTAAAAATTAATTTATTATCTCAATACAAAAATACAAAAGTATTAAACAGTTTCTCAACGCCAATATTTAAAAAGTTTATATGAACATTGCACTGACCTTTTAATTTCGCCGCCAGTAAACTATAACTTAAATTCGGGCACGGACTCCACTGTAAAGTGCTCATAAAACATTTTCTATACTTTCACTGTGAAAAACTGTCAATTTTCAAGAAATACATTTCGATTTATAACCTTTATAATTGTGTTTATAAAATGTAAAAATGTGACATTTGACAGTTTCCCCTGTTGTTTCATAGATGGCGCTCTATACAAATTTTTGATTTAAATCATTTTAAGATAATAATAAGTATTTGTCGTAGAAAAAGTATAGTGTGCACCTCGTTTAAAAAATTTTCTATACACAAATTCGTGTAAAAAATGGCGTTTATCAAACTTGATACATAATATACTATTTTGTGTTCCAAATTAGGATCGTTATGAGCAAAAAATACATGTATTGTAATATTTTCATAAAATAAAATTAGTGTTTAACTGACAGTTACCTAACCTCAATTACTTCAAACGTCAAGGACCCAGGTTAAAACCAAATACAGGCACAGAAAACAATTAAAAAAAACTTTTAAATTATAATAAAAAAATATTTAGAAAAATAATGTAATTTTACTAAACATGTTTAGGAAGTTTTTACGCACCACAATATAGTAATAATGGAACTCAGTTTTGTAAACTCACTACACGATTCATTACAACTTAATTTGGGAAAATTACAAAACGTTTGTTGAAATTCACTAAGCATTTATTAAAAATTTGTTCAGTAACATTACTATACAGGTATTGTAATTTTCATAAAAAATACTAAATATATATATAGTAATTTTAAAATGGTGTATTGTAATTATACTTTACAATTCATTTCAACTCAGTTTAAGAAAATTACAAAATATATTTTACAATTTTACTGAACTGAAGAAAATTCGTTTCGCAATATTACAATACAAATATTGTTATTTTGTGCAAGAAATTTCACTAAAATATTTAGTAATATGCACATACATATTTTACATAACATTTTAGCAAATCAAATTACAAACAGATGCTTATTATAATAAGCATCTGTTTGTAATTTGATTTCTATAGAAACTGTCAAACTGTTTAGTAAAATTACAATGTGTGTAGGATTTATACATATAGATCGTAAAATTACAACTTATCTTAGCAGATGTCCCAACATGTCTTGGAAGATTACTAAAATTTTACAACAAAATTTTAAGTGTTCATTGTTAAAATGATTTATAGTAAAAATTCAAACATAAATTGTATAAAATAAATAAAGATTTGTATATTTTCAAACACTTTAATATTACAACAAATGCGTATTAAAATTGCAATACAATACAACATTTTGTAATTTTACTCTGCTTAGTAAAAAAGTAGTAATTTTACAAACATTTTTGACAGTGTAAAACTACACTAATAAATTTAACACAAGCACTTTTTGTAGAGAAGGTCTTGAAATATTAATCTACTTTTGCGTTGGGAAATGAATGGCATGAAGTTAGCCTTGGAAGACAAAAACAACGATCCCTAGCAACCAACAAACAACCGTCAAAAATATCAAGTGAAGTTTGGTTGTAAATTTATTATTATAGAATAAAAATGCCGAATCCTGACAAACCGAAAGCCAGAGGCAGAAAACGAAAACACCCTGTATACGACGAGAAGGGCGTTCACATTGAAACGCAAATGGACATGTGCGACTGCTTGGAGAGCGATTGCCCGGGCTGTTTTTTCCCTTGTTTCAAGTGCAAGTCAAAAAAATGCGGACCCAGGTGTAGGGTATTGCGAACGTATATTTACGACTCCATATCCAATTCCAATGAAGACCAAGTGAACTCGTTCAAGTTAAATTCCATTTTTTCCAAAATTGTTATCACAATCAACTAAGTTTGAGTAGGTATTTTATTCTGTTTATTTAGCTGTAATGGTTATTTTGAATGAACTATTAATTATTGTTATTATTAATAAACCTTTGACAATTTGGGAAGTAACAATTCTTTATCTCTAGTTCCAGTCTAAATTAAAAAATAATTTATTTTCAAACATCAGTAAAATGACACTTGTGACATTTCGTTTTAGCTAGTAGCGCCACCACTCGGCTGTTATCATCGTAACAAAACTAGAACTTTTAATAATCAGCTGTCAAACGAGTGTTTTTGAGAATAAAGCCGGAAAATGTTGGATTGAGTTTTTACCGGTTTTACAATAAACAGTGTTAATCTGAATGAAGAAATAAATTTCATACAGTCCCTGTAAATATAAATTGTATGTATTATATATAATATTATGTTGCCATGAATTCGTAGGCATATTTTGTTGTTTAAAATGCAGTTGTCGGCGTTTTTTAGAGAACTCAAATATAAAAATGGTTGATTTTAGGTTATGTTTGTGCAAAAGTTATTTGTTACTAATTTCTTAAAAATGTCCAAACTTAAATATAAATTATATTAGGTAAAGTTATCATTAGTCAATTCTGCACCAACAAATGTACTTACCGAATTGGATCCTTTGGCAAAACATGAAAATGCAACGATTTTGTCCTTGAATTTTATTTACAATTATAAACACAATAATTCACCATGATCCCTTTAATAAAATACACACACTAACGTAACTATATAAGCATTTAAGCGTTGAGTTTCTTAATCAATGATATAAGGAATAATTAATCGAAATCGAGTACATAGTATATTATGTATCAAGTTTGATAAACGCCATTTTATACACGATTTTAATTTAGGTTCTTAAATTAATGAATGTTTAGAAAAGTTTATAAACGAGGTGCATACTATACTTTTTCTACGACAAATACTTATTATTATCTTAAAATGATTTAAAACAAAAATTTGTATAGAGCGCCATCTATGAAACAACAGGGGAAACTGTCAAATGTCACATTTTTACATTTTAACACAATTATAAAGGATATAAATCGAAATGTTTCATGAAAATTAACAGTTTTTCACAGTGAAAGTAAAGGAAATGTTTTATGAGGACTTTACAGTAGAGTCCGTGCCCGAATTTAAGTTATAGTTTACTGCCGGCGAAATTAAAAGGTCAGTACAATGTTCATATAAACTTTTCAAATATTGGCGTTGAGAAACTATTTAATATTTTTGTATTTTTGTATTAAGATAATAAAATAATTTTCACATTTAGTATTATTTTACAAGAAAGGCACTTTATTTTAACGATTGTATGACATTTGACAACTGTCAACTAACTTAAAACTATCTTCAGCCCGTGACTAAAAACCTGTTGCCAACTTCAGCCCGTGACTAAAGCGCCGTAAAGCCACAACTTGTCAATGTGTATTTAAAAGGTCACTTAGTGTCATGGAAACATGTACGATAAAGGGCGTTTTAAAGGTGGGAGTAAAAAAAATAATTTATTATTTACATTACCACGTGGTACTGTACAGTAAAAATGGCCGATTAGAAGTAGTTTTCGCTACTTTAAAGATTTTTTCCACTTTACGGTTGTTTGGTTAGTAGCATAAACGTTCCAAATACTAAAATAATAACTTTTAAGTTATTAACTTTGTAGTTTTTAACTCATGTTTCAGTTTCGAGATTTTAACTTGCAAAGGGACTACAAAGTAATAATAATTATAATGTAATCTTTAGGTAGCAACCGAAAGTAACTGCTACAAATTAAATTTACTTGAAAGTTTTTTTTACTTATAACACCTTTTTTAAAGTTCCAAAATCTTCTTGGGGGCAACCAAGTTTTTACTTAAATGTTTATTACTTTATAGTAACCATTTAAGGAAAAATTGAGTTTCTGTTACAAAATATTGCTATTTAAAGTTAGAATTACTTTTAAGTAAAAATTAAAGTAGCTGTTTAGTATACTTAACTGATTTAAAGTTATCACCACTTTGGCAATGGTTTTTGGAACCAAAAATGCTGCTTGGGCCATTTATTCGTCTACATTAATGTTGTCGCCTTCAAAATAGTCCCCATTGGATATTATGCACATGTGCCAGCTCTTCTTCCAATACTCGAAACACTTCTAAAACTCGATCTTTGGGATAGCCTTTAGTTCTTTCATCTATGCTTGCAAAACGACGGCCCTTTAAGGTTCTCCTTATTTTTGGGAATAGGAAAAAGTCAGACAGAGGCATGTCTGGCGAATATGGAGGCTAGGGCATCATTACAGTATTGTTTTTGGCAAAAAATGTTGTTCAAAATTAAACAATTTTAGAACAAATTTTGCTGCCACGCGTTTCATACCCAAAACATTCGAAAAAATTTCATGGGATGAGCCAATCGATATACCAACATCATCAGCGACTTCTCTGATGGTTTATATCCATTTCTTCCACTTTTTCCATGTTTTTATCGGTTATGTGCTTGTGCGTTCGGGGCGTTCGTCATCTTCAACGTCTTCACGGCCATCTTGGAAACTCTTATACCACTTGTAAACTCTTGTTTTACTTATAGCAGACTCACTATAGGCCTTTGTTAAAATTTCACAGAATTTATTTCATTTTTTAAGCAAAATTGGTTACAAATTCTATGATCCATTTCTTTTAACGAACGAAAAATCGCCGAGCTCATAAAACACGTCTAACCTTAGCGGCTGCCACAGACAAAGTAAACAATGAAATCAGCTAAAGTTTTTATCATACTTCGGGGGCATGTATACCAACATAATAAAGAAAATTTTATGACAACCGGACCCTCTGAACCCGCGAAATTTAACAATTCCCGTTATTTTCTGAACACACCTCGTATAGTTGCTAAAAACACTTAAACCAATTGATTTCGCTTAGTAAAGTTCCAAATGACGTTAATGTCAATTTTTTGTAAAATATTAAAGTTGAGAGACAGCAAATGTACAAGAAATTTGAAAATATCCAATAAAATCAATTGAAATATTTCCGATCAAGTTCGAATTTAACTAGACAATAGTCAATTTGCTGCTGTGTGCTAACAATTAGTCGTCCTTTCAATAACTATTATTTATTCAGTCGCGTGTCTGTTGTTTTTGAGTAGTGTAGTGCAAAAAAATTAGTCCCGATTTGGATTATACCTTTAGTGAGTGAATAGTGTTTTTTAGTCGATATAAAAATGTAAATAATTAATACAAGGCCTTGAGTAAGGATGACACTGGTGAGTGCTAGAATTTTGAATAGATAAAATAAATAATGGGGGGGTTTACAAGTTTTAAAAAAATGTTTTTGCATACAAAATAGTGTGAAAATGTGTTTTGAAACTCATTAATAAAAAAATGCGATTTTATCTACAGGGTAAAAATTAGGAAAACATGAAATCAATTCAAGAGAAAAATACTTTATTTTTTATTTTTTTTTACATTCAAAATCTGAATAGCAAATACAAAAATAACGACGGAAATTATGTTGGATTTTTCTTTGTTTTTTCCCAGGATCAAGTTTGTCCAGAAAATGCAGTTTTATTTTTGATTTTAGGGAAAAAAGCGATAGTAAACATTTTAGTCAAAAAATAACATTTACGTATTAAAATTTCCGATTTTATCTAAAGGGTGTTTAAAAGATAAAAAAAACAAAATCCTGGGAAAACAAAAAAAATTTCATCGTATTTTTTGTATTTCCCTTTTTTATCCAATTTTATATAAAAAAGTTTGAAAGAGTTCATGTTTTCCTTATTCTTGAACACCCTGTATATAAAATTTTTAATTTTATAACAATTTTTTTCTGTTAATATTTTTTAACGATTAAAAGTTTTTTATGGAATGAGTTTTCTTCGAAAAAATCAAAAATAAAAATTCGTTCTCTCTTATTCAATACTGTATTATAAAAATTTACATCTTTATATGGGTGATTCTACAAAAGTTGGGCAACTAGATTTCATCAGTCAATAGAGTAGGTATTTTAATATTTTTTGTAAATATTTTAGTATATTACAAAAGATCCAGGTTTTTTAATTTGTCCACCCAATTTTAATGTATTTTTTTAAAAGCACGTTTGTAGAAAAACATAATAAATATTCAAAACATCAGTACCTTGGCGTGTCACAATTCCTGAATCAAATATTTGAGTGATTTTATTTTAAAATATATTCAATTTATCTTAAATTTTTCAATTTCACTACAAACTATAAAACATTAAATAATGTATTTTTCATATTTTATCATAGATTCGAATAATAGCAATTTTTAAAAAAATGATAATCTTTGTACTTCCTTTTACCCGTCAGTTCTGTGTCCAATGTTAAAATTCAAAATTCCTGCGAAATATTAAAGTTTAAACGTCAAGTTCTCGTTTTAACTCAAGTGTTGGTAAAAAATTACCTACAGAGCCCGCGGCGAAGTTGTGGTGAATGCACGTATAGTTCCAGTCATAGTCAGAGTTGTTATTTTCTTACGTTTATATATTTCATTGTAATTTATATAAGGCTATATGTGATTTGTTGATAGGTAGTATCAACTAATAAAAAATATCAGTAAAATACTTAATTCCGAATTATAATCTCAAATTTGTATCCCATTCATCAGTACCGTGTCGTCAGTTCCATGTTCGATGTTTCGGTTATCTTTTTTTCGCAAACTTAAATTTAAATTCTTCTTGCGCAGAACTTGTTAATTTAATGTTTATAAACTCATATAAATTTGGTGTGGGTCCCATATCTAATAATTCAGATATCGATATACCCAAAATCCACCAGCCGCCACTGATGTGTGGTATTATTTGATTTTAAGATATTTAATGTATAATATGCTCAAAGTTGCCATAAATCTTATATTTTTCAATAAATTATGTATTTAATTAGTACCCTGGTATACTCGTCACTTCCCTTGCATTCAAATTTAGAAAACACAGATATTTCAGAAACTGTTTGAAAAAGTGACTGGCCCGGTCTGGAACAGTATATTTATTATATTATCTATGTTCTCATAAGAAAATACTGTTTAATTTTCTCCGA